TATTTGTTACTACTGTTGGTGGCGGGAGTGTTGCGCTAATCAAGTTATTGTAAACATAAATTATTTGGATTGGCTGATTATACTAAACAATTAATGTCCCCCTTGGGAATATGTATATAAATAGCGTGCTTATCGAAGTTTCCTCACAAGAAGCAATGTCACACATGCACTTTGCTATATCAAATAGCTTGTCCAGAGTAGAGTTGAACTTAGAAATAATTTCAGGTTTACACCTGTAGTTAATATTATCGGTAGCTTTTTTCCATACTTTTATTATTTTATTAACACTCACTTTGTCCGTCACAATAGGAATTTCAGGATTCGCTTTCAACCATTGTGTTTTCACTTTAGAGAAAACCTTTTGGCATGTATCTTTAAGTTTTGCATTTGCTTTGCAGTTTTCATCTCTTCTTAGAAGCAGACCATACATCTTATAACATCTCTTAATGTGGATTACTCAGAATCTAAAAACTTACTTGCATAACCAATCATAATACTTAGTTTGCAACTTTGACTATTTTTATGTGTTCGTTTAGCCATCGATAAAGAACTCAAAGTTATCAATAGTTCATAAACAATATTTATTGTAGATTTAATGTGTCAACTCAAATGCAAAAGCAGCATTTAAATTGCAGCAAATTCAGATGCTAAAGCAATGGTTTAAAATGCGGCAATTAAAATGCAGAAATTTTTTTCATATAAGATAAGTTTTTTCATATAATCTACTAAATAAATTTAAGTTTAACCAAAACATCTGTGGATAACTCAGAATCTAAAAACTCACTTGCAAAACCAATCATAACACTTAGTTTGCAACTTTGACTATTTTTACGTGTTCGTTTAGCCATCGATAAAGAACTCAAAGTTATCAATAGTTTATAAACAATATTTATTGTAGATTTAATGTGTCAACTCAAATGCAAATGCAGCATTTAAATTGCAGCAAATTCAGATGCTAAAGCAACGGTTTAAAATGCAGCAATTCAAATGCAGAAATTTTTTTCATATAAGATAAGTTTTTTCATATAATCTACTAAATGAACCAAAACATCTTATTGTAACTACGCAAGATATTCCAGCAAATATATATATATCAAAAATAAAGATTTTTGTAAACTTTTATAATTATAAGTTTTTAAGCTAAAATGACTATCTAGGTGTCTAATTAGGGGTATTTGGGATCGAGGATTCCATAAAATATGTTTTTGAGTCAATTGGAGCAACCGGTCAAAAGTTGCAGCAAATCGCGTATGCAGCGTTTTTTACACAAAACCTAGATTTTTTAGGTCAAAATTTGAAAACCTGAAAATAATTTTTTTTTTTTTTTTTTTTTTTTTTTGGATTACTTTGATATAAGAACCAAAACATTTAAAAATCATATGGCCTAAGCATTTACTGAAAAAAGTTGAAAAATGACCCGCCCTTTTGAATATAAGTTTTTTCTATTAATTATAATTTCTATTTTTTTTAATTTTAAACTTAAAAAACTTTATTACAGGGTTATGCGGAAGTATAAATTAAAAAAAGAAAATTTAAGTTAGAAAATTTGAAATTAAAATAAGAAATTAAAATAAACCCTGTATTTTAATAAATGAACTCATTCATTGAGTTTGAAATTGCTGCCACCAAGCTTATTTTAACTTTTTTTAAAAACTTTAAAAAATCATATTTTCATTTCTTTATATTTCTGCATAAAAAAGTTTATATTTCTGCATAACCCTGTAACTAAATAATAAAATAATAAAGAATTTTACTAAGTGGGAAGTGTGATATCATTACTTTTAAAGCAAAGTGCAATAATAAAATTATTGTATGCTATAGGTTTTTAATTGACATTGTTAAAGCGAGTTTTTGTTTTACTATAGCAAAACAATAACTCATTTTAAAAAGAACGAGTAGGGTAATAACATATTATTTGAGGAACCATAGGACGTCTGAAAGTAGAAAATGTGATATGTTGTGTAAAAATCATACTTACGGTAGAATTAATTGGGTTGAAAGGTTTGAAAATACCATTATTAGACCATTTTATATTTGGGGAGTTCAAATCACCAACTATTGAGCAGTTATTGAAGGGCTTCCTAATTTTTGATAATTCCTAATTCCTTATGAGTTAATAAAGACTGTTAAAATCTTTGGGCTCTTCAGGCTTTTTTGTATATATATAAAGTTTTGTATATATATATATATATATATATATATATATATATATATATATATATATATATATATATATATATATATATATATGTATATATATATATATATATACAAAATGTATGTGATGTATGTCTGTAATGGTGCACGATAGTCGAAATCTTTGAAGTCCAGATGTTTGCGTGCATTTGCATTTAGTGGCAGAAAAAAGTTGACAACCATAGAAGCTTTAGTATCATCATCAACGGGTCCACAAGTGCCGACCAAATGCCTTGATAACAGACTCTCTGACTTTGATAATTGGGTACTTGTGTAGTAGAATTTGAAGATTCATATCATTGAAAGGAGCTCTTGATGCAAGAGGAGCTTCATGCCAATAGCGGGCATAGACCAGTGGTACAAAAAGTGCAATGGACTCAATTCCGGCTATCTCTTTTGCAGTAATCTTTAACTAGAAAAATCTTGATAGAATAGATGGTTTTAGCCATCCATCTGGCATGATGCATTGCTCCGGGTGCACGAAAACAAAATGTGCCTTCACCTTCAAGGAAAATATAACATAGCTGTAGTAGCTCTTTGTAGTCATCATGGGGAAGTTCTGCATGTATCGCATCCCTGAAAAATAATATCTTATATGCACGAAGACCTTATGGGCATACCTTCAAAGAGGATGTCAGGTGCAGACCTAAAATCATCCTTGTTGATGAATGGCCACATAGTTTGAAATTGTTTAAACAGGCCTATTTCATGTCCATTGGATGGTCCAAGAACAGCAGAGAAGACAATAGCAAGCACAACCTCCAACACATGATGGCGACAAGCAATCCATGCAAGTTCCTTTTCCAGAGCTCTTTCAAGTAGAGTTCAGGCACCGATGTTCAATCCTGTGTTGGAAGCCGTTATATCAAAGAATAATCCTTGAATAAATGGTTTGAGTTGCCAGTCTCCTAATGTACGTAAGCAGGCATTACACTGTTCTTCGCCTGTGCCACCTCCAATCTTTGGGACAGCAAGCAGTTGTTCCTTTTCTTTCTCTGAAACAAGAATTGCTATTTGATCTATAAGTTCTTTGCTGTTGCCGGTAATGTCTGGAAGCAATTTTCCATCCCAATGAAGTAGTAACAGATAATCCGTGTTGGCTGAGAATGAAGCCTGTTGTGCAGTTGCTACTGCCTTCCGTGTAGCCATATGAACATGTTTAATGGTACTACAAGACAATGCCACATCATCTAACTCCACACCGAGCGCTTGTGCCACTGCCCCAACAACAAACATGATCAGGAAGGTTGACTCGGTCAAGTGCAGAAGCATCTTCATTGGTGATGATAGATTTCTTTAACTTTATTGAGGCTTGTTTAGAATTGGTTGATGTTGATGGGATGACAAAATTATCATCAGAATCAGAAGAAGACGAGGAGCAGCTGTCTAAATTAAGTTGAACAAGAGATGTAGATGGGACTGCAGTCTGCTGTGATAGAACTTTCTCCAATCGAGCAGCTTCTAGTGAAATTCTGCTTCTTTTACGGGACTATTTATTGGCTAATGACTGGTCAATTCCAGCCATGCTGAGGGATCTTCTCATTGCAGTTGCAAGAACTGCTTGTCCTCTTCATTGCAATTGCAAGAACTGCTTGTCCTCTTCATTGGTCATGAGTTGCATGGCATCCAAACTGTTCCTCATTGAACCAGCAACCGTCTTTCTGCGTTAGTTGATGTTTCTTCAACAAACAGTATTTATCGTATAATTTGCAACGTTTCCAGAGTCAATATGTTGTGTAGGAATCCTAGTCTTCTCCCAAATTTTTAAAGTTGCATCCATAGCCAGTTTTGAACTTCTAGCAATTGTTAGTCCGTTTTCAATGTTATGGAACATAAAATTTTTCTGACTGCACCATTTGTCAGCAATCCAGAACCAGAATTTCCTCTTCACACTTGCCAATCAGCCAAAATTTGTGGTGAACTTCTGGTTATAGCCTACTTCATTATTATCCATGGTGTAAAAAAATTATCACACAAATTTTGTAAAGTACTGTAATTCATTAAAACAGCTTTAAATTATTTAACACAAATATTAATACTGTTAGGGTTAGGGTTCATCAATGATTTAATAATTGCCATTGACAAAAAGCTTAGTCTTAGTTCATACACCGCTTACTTAAGACCAATAGAATAATAAAATAATACATGAATAAAATTGTACATACTATACACAATTTTAATCAGTTTTTACGCAGCGAGAACCCTGTCATGAACTTAAAATAAAAATTGTTCTTTTGGTTGCTACCTCTAAATATGTTCCAAGTTAACCAAAATTTGTATATATATATATATATAAATATATATATATATATATAAATTATTTAACACAAATATTAATACTGTTAGGGTTAGGGTTCATCAATGTATATATATATATATATATATATATATATATATATATATATATATATATATATATATATATATATATATATATATATATATATATATATATATATATATATATATATAGATATAAATATATATATATATATATATATATATTTATATCTATACATATTCCTCATTTTTACATTGTATCATGAACATACATCATGAATATGTATATAATCCTCATTTTTAGATTACATCAAAAGAGAAATATGTGTGTGAGTGCATGTGCTTAAAGAATAATTATTTATAATCTTAATTTAAAACATGTTTTAGATTATAGGTTTTAGTTTTTGCTATAATATTCACTCTACTTTAAAATTGAGCTTTAGTTACTTTTTGAATGCTTTTTTTTTAATCTTATTTAATTTCCAAACCTTGAGTCATCTTATTAAAAAATGTTATCTATTTAGGAAAGAATTCAGAAACAAATTGAGGAGACAGAGTAAGTGATTTTATAGAATGTTAATAACTTACATTTATTTTTTAAACAAAGTATATTTGAATGTTAGTAAATTTAAAAAAGTTTTAAATTCATAAAATAGTACTGATTCTTAATGTTTCTTTTAAACACCTGAGACTGAGGTAGTAACTATCCAACACACAGTTGGGTATTAAATCAATTAAGGTGGCCAAAACTTAATTTTTTTAAAACTTACAAATAAAAAATTTATTTTTTTAAGTTTTAAAAAATTACATTAAATAATAAAAAAGTAATTAACTGCTTTAACTTTGTTTATATCTTGCTGCTTTATAAGTAAGTTGCATATACAAAGTTGATCATTACTTATTATTTATTAGTTTATATTTTAATCATTAATTAGAAATTTCAAAGTGACTAGTGATGAATTTTATTGAAATTGGTAAAGGTGAGTGTAAACATTTGAAAAGTTATAATTAATATATTTATTAATAATAAAATGGTAGGTTTGCAAAAACTTTTTTTTTTCTTTTTTTTTTGCAATTTTCATTGCAAACTATAAGTTATTAGTAATACTTTCAAGCATTTCTAGGTAGTTTTTGTTGTCAAAACCTTAGCCTATCTGTTTAGAAATCACTAATGGATTCTAATAAATAACTAATAGGAAGATACTAGAAGATAATTTATTTCAATAAGAATTAATAATTACATTGCCATTATGCCTTCTAGAAAAAACTAATAACTAAAACATCACTAGGACTCAGTCCTCTTAAACTAGTTTCTACACTCCCCATCTTAAAGATCGTATCTCTAACTACTGGTTGGCTAGTTGCATCTTTCATTTCGCCGTCTTTGCTAATACTTGTTTCTTCGGTAGATCAGTCAGAGGACCAACGCTTGGTTGGAATTCCAAGGGAACCAATCGCTTTACATAACGTTTCAAATATACAGCATTACCATCTTTTCCAATTACTCGTAGCACAGCACCTTGAACTTTTCCATCGCTTCCTACTATTCTTTCAATTACTACACTCCTTTTCCAATGGCTTTGAGGCAATTTATCGTCGTCTTTAATCAAAACCATATGGTTTATTTGAATGTTATTTATAACATCATAATTCCGACAATTGTAAACATAGTGTTCCCGTAGTTCATTTAATTATTCCTTTTAAAATCTTCTTTTAAAGTGCCTAATTGAGTTCTTCAAATGTTAAAAACTTTCTAACGCACTGATTTCAACTGGGTCAGGATCTTCTGTATTAACTGATACTGCTTGACTAAAAAATCTTCTGCTAACAGTTAAATGAGATGGAGTCAGATGGAGTCAACCAATACCTTGATTGTATTTCATTCAGGGTGCTGTTAATTCCGGCCTGGCCTGTTTTTTCATGTGCTTTTAATATTAATAACTTCGTGAACGTATTATAATGAACGGCCCTAAGATAGATTGGATGTTTAATATCAAGTTCAATAAGTACATTAGCTAAACGCCCATGTAATGGAAAAACTCCATCTCTATCATGTTTTAAATTCAATGATCTACAAATCTGAAAAATTGTATTGAGTTCTTTTGCAATTAATTGTTCTGTTTTAATCCACATAAGTTCGGCATGCATTAATTCTTCTGTTCTAATATAACCTATAACACAATTTCTTCTTCGTTTTATTCGGTATAACAAATTGTTTACAATTTGCATCACAAATGAGGTTATTATTAAAAGTTTATTCATAGAACTGAAATCATCTATTTTTATTATTTCATGTAAGTTCACATATACTTCACTCTTCACCACAGTGGTGTCTTCCTGCATACTAAGAACAGTATCAACTTTGGATTGATGAAACATATTTTCAAAATCAACAATTCCATTTAATTTTTCTCTTTCTTCAGTTCAGAATTGATAGACGAGTTTGTTAATTTGTCATCATAATTGCATTTTGTAGTCCATTCCACAGGGTCATTTTTAAGAAATTGGATCCGTTCCAATAGTATTTATTTTCAAGCATCAAATTTAATATATTTTCTCTAGTTGGAATGTCATTTCCAGAAACAAAGTACCAATCATCAATTTTTGATAAATTTATATAAAAAACACGGTTTTCAACCCAACATTTACATTCCTTATTTACTCCATGAATCCATGATAAACAAATATTTGATTCACTCCAGTAGTAAACCTTTTCAATATGAAGTACACCATTTATTGCATTTTTAACAGAATTTATTAATTTACATAGCATTGAACAACCCTAGAGTTCAAGTCTTGGAACAGTTTGTCTTTTTAATGGAGCCACTTTCGCTTTTACTGTAAGTAAATTTACAACAACCATATAAGCTTCAATCCTTAAATTAAATAATGTTTTATAGGCTTGTGTTGAACTATCACAAAAATCATGAATTTAAACAGATTTTATTTGTTTAGTCATATCAATAAATACACATCTTGGGATATTCAAACTATTAAGAGCTTTAAGTTCATTTAACCATCTATACCACTGCTTCCAAACATCAGCAGGCAAGAGTTCATCCCAATCCATCTTTTCTGTACATATTTTCTGGATTAATAACTAAATAGTGATCGGAATCAACAGTCCAAGAGGATCATTTAGTTCGTGGCAATTTAAGTGCCTCATCCACTATTTCATCGAAACAAAAATTAAGATTATTTGACTTAGTATACTACCTAAGTCCTAAGACCTTTCTATGTCGTTCAGTACTAGTTTAATCAACACAAAACTTCATTAGGTTCATCAAATCTTCTGAATTAGATGACCACTTTCCCAATTCAAATCTACCATCTTTCATAAACTTGTGAGCTCTTTTGAAAAATATGAAAGCATCGGCAACATTATTAAATCCAGTCGTAGTATCATCCACATACAAGTCACAAAGAAACTGTAAAACAAAACTCTCAAATTCTTTAACATTAATTAACTCTTTAACGTTTTTTAAATGTTCTTGTATCATAGCATTGAGCAGAATTGGACTACATGTAAATCCAAAAACCACATGCTTAAAGCAAAATATTATTTTCTCTGGATTTTTTGAAAATAAATCATCAAACCAAATAAAGCGCAAATAATCCTGATCAGGAGATTTATACCAATATTCAAAAGTGCTTGTTTGATGTCCGATGTTAAAGCATCTTGTGAAGTCTGAATCGAACTAATATATTAAATAATAAGGTCAATAAGCAGGGACGAGAATACAGACAGTCATTTAGTGAGGGATTTTTATCATTTTTTGAAGATGCATCACTATTCTCATTTTCGTTGTTTCTTTATCCAACCGTATTACAGCAATATGCGGTATATAATGAATTCTACCTGATAAACCAGTGTCTGTAACTTTCTGAATGATTCCATTATTTAAATATTGATTAATAATATTATTATACTCACGTCGAAGTGTTTCATGCTTGTCAAGTCTTTGTTTTAAGGAATCAAGTCTTTTTTCACTATTTTAATTTTTATTAGGAAGAGTTTCATGAAACGGTTTAAATGGTAAGGTAACTACATATCTTTCTCCATCGTAGTAAGCTTTATTTTGAAACTTGTAATAAACTTCATTCTCTGGAATTACTAAACTTTCAATTTCCCAGAACTTCATTAAGTTTGATTTCAAACTATCATTGTCAATTTGTAAGGTATTTATCTGCATCACATGTGTAGAGTATTAATTTGAAGATGTTAACTTCTTTTAACATCCATGCTTGTTGGGCCACGAATAACCTACCCCAAATTACTTTCTATGGCTACTGGATCATTGAAGTCTTTCCTGTTTATATGACCTGTCATAAATTTGTAATAATTATCAATTCCGACTAAAATATCTATTTTAAGGTTGTTTCCAACTAATTCATTTTCTGCCAATTGCAAGTTATTTTAATAAAGATAAGTTTTTAATGTCAATTTCAAATCTTGATTTTGCAATGGCAAAAACGGGAAAGGTTAACTAAGAGCTTCAATATAAATAAAACCAGATTTCGTTTTTCCACGTACACAAATATGCACAACATCCAAGGTTTTCAGAACTCCTTTATCTGAGGCAAATGTTTTTATCAAAACTGTTTCTTGTCATAAGACTTTAAAGTGTAATTTCTTCTTTAATGTTTCAGTGCAATTCTCTGACTACAACAATCAAATAATAATCTGGAAATTACCTCTTTTTTATCATCAGTATTTTTTTGTTAAAGCAAAAAATACTGATTATAAAAATTTTTAACAATATTGTTGGTTGTGAACAATTGACATGATTAGTACTAGTTTCTTTTGGCTTCGAGTCATTAAGATATTCTCTATTTCTTTTTTGTTTACTGGAGGAAGTACATATGCTTACATTATGATTTCCATTGCATTTCACACATTTGTATGATATCTTGCAAAATTTTGAGATATGCCCTCGTTCTATACAGATAAAACAGCGTCCTTGTTTTTTAAGTATATTTTTCTTACTTTCTCTATCAGTGACATTTAAACATTTATTTGGTTTTAAATGATTCTTGTTACAAAAAAAAAATCTACCTGAAGTGTTTGAGCAGTAAATTCATTTTGAAAATCAATTTCTTTACAGTCTGATATGCTGCACAACGTTCGCGAGCACAAAATTTTTCATTAAAAATTTCAGTAACTTCATTTAGGTTCCAATTTCCATGCTTAAATTTTTTTGAGATTGTAATTTTTAATTTTGAAAGGATTCGATCAAATAAAATCTTTATAAGCATTGATTCATAGGTTGCAGTGTCCACTTCAAGGTTAACATTTAAGTTTCGTACACTAGTTTCAAGTTTATCATAAACCATTTGCAGTTTAACCATGTCGTCTATTGATTTACCCTTTGGTAACTTGAGTAAGTTTTCCATATTAGTAGAAATTAAAACCTTAGTATTTCCAAACTGTTGAGTTAACATAATTGCTTTTTCATAATTACTTGCTGTCAGCATTAATCTTAATATTAAGTCGTGGGCACTTCCTGTAAGCAATGTTTTCAGATAAGTAAATTTATCTACATCATTTAAGTTGTT